CTCCTTTCCTCCCCCAGAAAGCCACCTTGATCCGCCTATGCCCATGACTATTTTCCAGCAGATGCTTTCCGTTGACTAATTATTTTGACCAGTTACGTATATTTCTGCCTTTTGCCGATTTAAACATGAAAAGCGTTCTCGCTACACTCTTTATATTTATTAATTTGGACCAAACAGAACTGACGGTGCTGTATGATTACTAAAAAAAATACAATAGATTTTAAATTCAATGCGCATCGCTGAATATTACACAGGATAGCTCATATAGTTCTTATATGCTTTTTTGCTAATCCTTAAAAGCATTGCACCGAGCTGTTTTCCTGGGCCAACTTCCATAAATCGAGGAAACTTGTAATTCTGAAAAAAAAACAGTAAAGGAACTTGTTTTGTCACAGAAAAATCGATTTTTTTATGACTCTAAGATAAATTATGAACTAAATTTTACAGTTCAATCTTTTATAAATTTTGAGTTATTTTGAATTTTGAGTTATTTTTGAGTCAAATTTTTTATAAATTTTGAGTCATTTTGAATTTTGAGTCATTTCTGAGTTGAACTTTTTATAAATTTTGAGTTATTTTAAGTTAAACTGAACTTATCGCACTATTTTAAAAAAAATCCAAAAAATTAAAAAAATGTCAAGAGAAAATCCTCAATGCATAAGCGCTTTGTACGTAGTAAAAAATCTGATAATTACCTGATGTTTCGAATGAAGTAGCTGCTGGATCTGTTCCCATTTCACTGGCGAGCAAATTTGCTTGATGATTGCCTCGCGAATTTGCTTATCCTTGTATGTATGTAATTTACCCGTATAATTTGAATAAATGTTCACTCGTGGAGGCAACTGGATTGTTACATCTGAAGAATTTCCTCTCTCACAAGCAAATGCTCTTTCAAAAAGTTTTGCTTTTTATCAACTAATTTTTTATTTATTTCTCGAAAATAAGTATAAATTGACTTAAAATCAAAGAGAGTGCAAAGAAACAGAAGGGGTAGAAAGGGCCATCGGGGCCTAACCAAGAAGTGATCATTCCAAATAGGAATGCCTGCGTTGTGGTAGACGAGGGCCGGTAATGAAAACCTCAGTACCATGAGTGCCCGTGTAAAATATTCTGGTCAAAAACTTCTCATGAAGTAAAAATCTAGGGGTTTCAAACTAACATAAGGGGGAATGAACGGTCCAGGTGAAGCGGCCGGACCGGATGAAACTGTAAAAGTTAAACTGTAAAAGGATTTTCAGGTCTATGAATAGCCGAAACACAAATTCTGAAACAACGGCCAGTCCAAGCCGAGGGGAAAATGGATCGGCTAAAACCCCGGAAAATTTTTTTAAAAATGAGAGGGCAGAAAAAATTAGTTATTGAAATATGATAGGAAAGATAGTGAGGTCGTTAATGTGGCTAAAACCGAAAGTCTTGTAAAAGACTTATACAGTATTTTATAACAAATTATCGCCTAAAAGACCACAGTCTCCAGGCTACTGCTAAGAAGAAATTTCTCAACGAAGAGAGCGTATAGGGCTGTAAAAAGCTCGAAAAAAGTAATAAACGCATCAACCAAACCTTTCAATGCCTCCTTCATTATGTCAACAGCATCTTTCATTAAAGCAGTATGAAATGCACCACTTACAGCCAATCTTTTTACCACCTGTAATTTGGTTTCAATTAGGAATTGCAGAAATGGTGGGAAAAAACCGCATAATTTTTCTTGAGACCGGCAAAAAATCAAAGTCCAGTGAATAACTTTGCTGTCAGGGCTGATGTAAGGGTAAATTTCAAAGCATTTCTGGTAATTCTTTACAACCCTTTCATC